AAATATGTGTAATCAATTCAAATAGGCGCAAATTGATGACACTTAATTCTCTTATCTTTACTGTGTATGTTTCCTTTTTTGTTTCTTATGTCTTAATTAGTACAAAATTGAGTGTTGTGTTGCATTGTAAAACACCCAGACTTGTATCTTTTCACTCCTTCAAAATAATAAAAGAGAATTCCCAAAAGTCCAATCTCATTTTTCGATTTGTCCTTTAGCGATCCATTAAATTAGAACCAACATTTGATATTAGAGAGCCTAAGCCGAAGGACATGTCGTCACCGAGCAGAGCTATCATAGGAGATATGGCAGTAACGAAGATCGGAAAAGAAGGGAACGTAACGCTTTCTTATCCATTACTCACAAAGAGTAACTACTCGGTGTGGGCGTTGAAGATGCGTGTGAACCTACAAGCTCAAGGAGTGTGGGAAGCCGTGGAGCAAGACGAGGTCGAAGAGCGTAAGGATAGAATGGCTCTCGCTGCCATCTATCAAGCGCTACCGGAGGACGTTCCTCTCTTGGTGGCAGAGAAGGATTCCGCCAAGCTAGCATGGGAGACACTGAAGACGATGCACGTCGGCGTGGAGCGAGTCAAGGAGGCGAAAGTGCAGACCTTGAGGACTCACTTCGAGGCAATCCGCATGAAGGACAGAGAGACGGTGGATGATTTCGCCATGAAATTGACGTCCATTGTGACAGGCATCCGCTCGTTGGGAGAGAAGATGGAGGAGATCTCCGTCGTCAAGAAGTTCCTTCGAGCCGTACCACAAAAATACATGCAGATCGTCACCGCGATCGAGCAATTCGGTCATCTCAAAAACATGACAGTCGAGGAGGTCGTCGGTCGTCTCAAATTCCACGAAGAGAGGCTTCGCGGCTACGAAGACCAAGAGGAGGAGAAGCACCTCTTGCTCACGCATGCAGAATGGATGTCACGAATGAAGAAAGCGGAGAAGCCGATTTTTCTTCCGGATCGTCGAGTAGTGGCGGCAACGGTGGAGATAACCGAGGTCGTGGCAAAGGGCGAGCACGAGGACAAGGTCGAGCTGGAGAAAGCTCACCTCGACAAGAAGACATCAAACCCCGCAAAGACAAGAGCACAGTGAAGTGTTACAATTGTCAAAAGTACGGACACTACGCGTCCGAATGTCGTAGCAAGAAGTCCGAAGAGGAAGCGAACCTTACTAGCCTCCATGACGAGGAGCCAGCGTTGATGTTTGCCGAGGGAGTGGCGAATCCCTTGCCCGAAGACGAGGAGAAAAATCTCGAAGAGATCACGCAAGAATCGTC